CCCCTGCCCTTTTTTTTTTTACCATTTTTTTCCCACCCTTTTTTTTTACGGGCCCCCCCCCTTTTTTTTTTTTTTTTTTTTTTTTTTTTTTAACTGAGGAGAAAACTGAGACCAAGGCCAAGGGAAAACTGTTCAAACTCACTGTTGACAGAACAACTCAAATCCAAAGCTTCTCACTATTCTTGAGCCTAGCCTGCTACCTCTGAGATCCAATTACCAACAAGAGCTCTCACACAATTATTTTCATATAAAAATATTTTTATGACTGAATTACAGGCAAATTGGCTAAATCTACCACAGCTGTTATCTAAAAAGTAAAATCTCAATGGAGAACAGAAGTGAAGTTGACAAAAATTAACTTTTGCTCTGAATTATGTTCTCAGTCCTGAATCCTTATTCCTAAAGAGACAGTGCCTTTCCCAGTATTCCTTGTGAGAAATGAAGTACAACAGTTATTCCCAACCAGGACTTCCAATACTGTGCCGTTATTTTAGAGTAAAACAATTTCTGGGTAAACAAATGATATCTGTACAAGGTAACATCCCAAAGCTACCCTTCTCTACCCATAATAAAATTATTCCAAGAAAGGCTCAAATATTAAAGTGCTTTCCTTTGCCTTTGGGAGGGGAAGGAGGGCTACATTTTCAGGTTTGAAGACAAGACCCTGAAAACAAATAGCCAGGCTGAGAAAGAGACACCCAGGAAAGATAGAAGCATACAGAAAATCTAGGGCTCTGAAACTTTCTGCCCACAGGAGCTGAGATGTTTCATCCGAAGTCCATGTCACTAAAACACGAAGAAGCTCCTTTGGCTACAAGAGATATTACGAGAGCATAAGATAAATGCCAGAAGTTTGGGTTCCCCCTCTTTTCTGTGTGACAGGCTGAGAGACTCCAATGCTGCAGAAAGCAAAATTTTCCTTGTTTCCATTACATCATCCAAGCTGCAGAGGGGGAGGGCAGGTGGGGGCACAGCTGGTGGCAGCTGCACCACCATCTGCTTTTTCCTGAGCTGTGTGTGCTAGTTTGAGCTGCAGCCTCCTACAGCTCCTGATAGAGGAAGCACAGGATTAAAGGTACAACACCCTATTATGGAAAAGATTTCAAATTATTTAGAAATAAATCACTCCCATGGTAAGTTAACAATCTCAGGTAGGTTGCTGAGCCAGTTCTCTTTGAGTTTAAGTTCTTTGTTTGCATCTCTTTAGACTCAGCTACAATGCAAACTCTGTCAACTCAACCTGCCCAATTAGGCACACAGAACGTAGGACACCTGCCATCTGCTTCCCAAAAGGTAAGTAGCCAAAAAGTGTAGGTCTGCAGCTGGAAGCATCTACGGAAGGAAGGGTTAATGCCCGAGCCCAGCAAGCAAGCCATAGGTGAGTGGGTGGGTACTAGCCACTGCCTTTGGCATCCCAGGCCATCTGGTTAACTTGTCTCACCCTCCTCAGTACTCTGGACTTTTCCTTCAGAACGCACTGTGAGGCAGTGAGGCATTCCCTTGTAGAAAGGGAGACTGGCGAGAGCAGCCTGACGGGTGAATGCCTTGTCTGGCCATTCAACTGCAAACTGGCAGCAAGGCAGCAAACTGGTGGTTCAGGGGTCTGATCAAGTCCATGCACATGTTTTATCTGGCCTAGACAGGGTTAATTAAAAGAAAAGGTGCTGGCTTTTAAAAAAGGAGTGGATTTCATAAAAAAACATCTAGATTGCTGGTTCTTTCTGGAGGGGGTAAAAAAAAAAAAGAGGCTTGGCAGCACCAGACCCCCACTCCTACATGGCACCAGTTATCTGAAGTTAAGTGGCAGTGCTTCCTGCGTTCTGAAGAGCTCATCCCCACCATGTGGTATCTGCATATTCCACTGCACTATGTTCCTACCTGGCCTCAAGAGCTTTGGATGTAATGCCCCTCAGCATGCAGAAGCATCCAGGGAATGATTTCCCAGCGGACCTTCACTGACTCAGTTCTTTATCTGAGAGTCAGTCCCCTAGATAGCCAGCTAAAATTCTACAAAGATCATACAACTTGATACAACACATGGATCTCAAGAGAAAGCCAGCTACGATCTGTCCTCTACCACATGGGCAGGTCAAATATTTCAAAGGAGTATTCCAGGCCACTTACCATACATTTTGCCTTCGTCTGACAAGATGATTTTCCTCCTCCCACACGGTGGATAGATAGCCAGGGCCTCCTGAAAGCTCTGCTCGATGTCTGGGCTCCAGACCCCTTCTGCGTCATTGTCAATTGGCTTATCTGCAGAGTCGCTCATCCTTTCCATGTTTTCGGCAGGGCTCTCGCTGCCGCTCCAGCTGCTGGGCTCAATTTTGGCGGTTGGATTTTCCAAGCCGAAGCCTGGAGCCTTTTCAAGAAAATAGACCTAAAAAAGAAATCACAAAATAGTATGATAAGGACATGGTAACCACAAACATACTGCTCTCACTATTCCAAGTTCTTCAGTTGCCAGCTTTGCTTAGAGAATAACTCCTAGTGGAGAACATGGAATTTTGAGATCCAAGCAGCTTCTGTTCTCTATGTATCATGTTAAGCACTCATACAGAAATGCAACGGCAGGCAGAAGCTAGATGATCTTCACAGATAGGAGATTTTCATCCAACAATAGCACTCACTCGGAGTTGCAAGTTTCCAGTGATTCATACAAAAACCGTTCACTAAGTGCCTACTATCTACCAGGGGCACTATGCTCAATGATAATCAAATCTCCATAGCAAAACAAGTTGTTTATAAGAAAATAAAGTAAAATAAAAGACATCCACTTCACTGTGGCAATTGGCATGATAATTCTGAAATGTCAAACCATCCCAATATGAGATCACCAAAATGCAAAATGGTGACAGGGTCGAGGAAGGAAGGAGGAACATTTATTTTGTTATCACAAATATTCATTCTACTGAGATAGCAATGCCAGTTAACCTGGACCTACGCATTTATCTTTGGGGCTTTTACCCTGTGTGGTCAGGTCAGTTTGCCACTCTCAGCTCCTAGACTGTAACCCTGAAGCAGGGACCAAGTTGTCCCCACTGCTATATTTCCTGCAACACCTACCACAACTGTCTAGCACATTAGCAGAAATGTTTTATATCTACATGAGGAACTTCCTCTCATAGCCTACTCTGAATTCCTGATCACATGAAAACCATGGGGAAAGTCTTTCATTTATTTTTCTGTAGCACTGAAGATTACAGAACCAAAAGAAATCTTTCTCAAAGACTGATTCCCCTTAAATTATGCATGTAACCTATGGTCATAAAGGGATAAGCTTTCCAAACAAATGGCAAACTGGCATAATACCAATGTGAAAATGATCTAATCCAGTACTCCCTGCTGTCCGGCACACTAACATATCAATATTCCTTTGTTGAAAAGGCATCAGATCATTAATCCAAAGGCCTCCCAAAAAAGGGGAGAAGAACTGCTTCTGGGGACTCATCAAAAAAGGGAGGCACAGGGTCTGAGTAGGGAGGGCTTCATGTGACCACCGTTCCTCTCCATCCCACCCCCTCCAGTCCATGCAATGTTACAACAAAGGCACCCAGGAGGGAAGCAGCTGCTTGTGGTCCCTCCCAGCACCAGGAACTGCTCCATGTTCCAGCGCCATCACCTGAGAGCAAGCAACCTGACATCTTTCCTTCCCTCTCCCGACTGTATCCCGTTCCTGGGCTGTCCCCCACCTGTGTGAATCAACAGATCCCAGGTGCAGAAACTCAGAGGCACATGCACATTACACAAGTAATGGTATAACTAGTGGGTGCTTTTGGCTTCTTACCCTGACAGCTTTTTAGGTTTGGCAGCACCTGGAAAGAAGAAACCCTCAGGTGGTCTGCCTTTAAATGCTGCCACTGAGCCATCACTCAAAGAATCTGTCAGCAAAATATTTACTACCTCTCACCAACACATGTACACTTACACAGGACTTTAAAAATTGCCCAATGTTAAGGTCTGCCACAAGAAAGGGTTATGTGACTGACCCCCAGATGAACTGCAGTATGGGCTTTTTGAATTCTCAAACTATTACAATTTTTGATGGGATCTAAGAGTCTTATAAAGTTCGAGCTGAACTGTACTCTACCCTAGAGTCTGTTCTAGCTCCAAAGCTGTTTATTAGAGAAATTATTAAAAGAAAACTCATTGAGCAGTAGCTAGTCCACCACCTCCCTCTCCATCCTCCTCCCAAGCAAAAACAAAAACAAAACCAAAACTACACAGACACACAAAACCACAGGCCAGTCCTTGAGCAGCTGGGAGCAGTATCGATTCACTCCAGGCAACCACGTTTTAGGATAAGTAGATATGCCCGGCACTCAGCCAGTGTACAGAGGGATGGAACTCAGGACAGTCAGGGCTAGTTGAAGGGACAGGGACCTTCACTTGCCTAAAAAGAATGTTACCATATAGTTGAGGCACAGAGTCTCCAGACCAGAACACAACAATGACTGACATCCAATGCCTGAGGTGCCCTCTACAACTTTCCATCAAATGGTCACTCAATCTACACTTGAACAGCGCTAATGACAAGGACCTCACCACCTCTCCTCACTACTGCCACCTCATGCTGACATGTTGAAATTCCTCCACCTACTAGGCTAAACCCCATCTCCTGACTAACTTCTACCCATCCATCCCTTGAGGGTCTCTCCCAACACATCATTTAGGTCTGACAGGAGCAGCCCCCAGGCTCCTGACTGTCTTCAAGACTAGATACCATCCAGTCTCAACACCCTCAATAAACGGCACTCAGAGATTGACTTATGATCCACAAAACCTCTAAGCTCCTGCGCCCCCCCCCCCGGGTGCTATTCCTGAACCCCACTTCTTGCACAATTGATTCCAGAGCTAAAATCAGGAGTTTATATTATTCCTATAAATTCCATTATTTTAGCCTTAACCCATGGCCCGAAACTGGTAAGATCCTTCTGAATCATAACTGCCAAGCTTATGTCCACAAACACTTAACAACCTCTGATGAGATGGAGAGTGTGCAGACCCGTTCCATGCAAGTTTCAAAGAAGATTCTGACTCAACATAAGGAAAACTTTCTGCTCGATGAGCTGCTCAATGAAGGGCAGAGAGCCTTAGAAGACAAGCACCAGAGTCTTGCAGACAACCCTTTCAAGTCACTTCTAAAGCTAAGAGTCACAAGTACTTGGTTGTATGGGGAATGCAATATTAGCTAGCATTAATTGATCCGCCCACTTAGTAAGTACAGAAAGTGTTCTAAATGCTCACGTTTTTATTCATTTACTGCAAAGGGAAGAACTCTGTTGTCCAGGCTCTTGCAATTTGGTCAAGTGGAGCTCAGCAGGATGGAATTACCTACTCTGGACATGGGCCAGGACACAGCCCCACAAACTACCAGATACATAATCCACAGAGTTATATAGGCCCTTGGTTTTACAACCAATTGTAAGATGAGGCCCCTGTGTGGGCAGAGAGTTTCCGATCACAAGACTGGGGCTGGCTGAGAAAAGCTCCCTGTACTGGATATCAAAATAACCCTCTGGCATTCCATCCCTCAAGTTCCTTCCAGCCCAGCTCAAAATCCCCATCATCCCCAAAACTGTTCTTGTGTCTAGTGGCTCTGAGAGTATCAGCCACACTTCTTCAGGAGTATCCTAAAAATGTGTGGAATTGGTGAACTACCAATCTACCTCAATTCTGAAAGCAGAGCAAAAGCACCTGCATATTACCAGCATTAAGATCTAAACAGGTGAATTATGCATAGAATATCTGGACCTGCCGAGCTGTTGTCTCCACCTCCCCATATATCCTTTGAGCATGGGAGTCAGTTTTCACTCAATTCAATAAATGAAGAACATGGTACTGGGTTGGCGGGGAGGTGGTATGAAGACTCAAAATGATCTGGGTTCCAAATCTGGCTCACCCACAAGCCATGCAGCCCAAACTAAATCAGTTAATCTCTCAGAAGATTTAAGATTTAATTAAATGAAATCCTAATACAGAAAAATCATTAAAGGGTGGAGGGACTCTACCCCACAGGGTTGCCATAAAGATTTAGTGAGATAATGAGTCAAGGCTGTCACCTGTAACACTTTATGTTCAAGTCCAACCTCTCTAGACAATGGTATATACTGTGCAATGCCAAAATACCTACCAGTGATGAGATGGTGAGGATATGAAGGAGAGTCCCCTAATCATTCACTTTGGGAAATCAAGTTACAAAGGATTCTCTTTCTTTAAGGTCTTTAGATCACAACATGGAAAATTTAAACTGGTGACAAACACCTTTATTTCTAACTGTAGTAGATTGAATTATGTCAATCTACAACCCCCAAAATTCACTGAGGCTTGAATTGTGACCCCCAAATTTTATGTATTAGAAACTTAGCTCCCACTGTGACTGTTAAAAGGGTGGGAAATCCTATTATGGTAACTGAAAGATGGAGCCTTGAAGAGGTGATTGGATTGTAGGACTGTGCAGTAGCAAATGGATTGAAAATGGTGGCCAGGGGCGCTGAGGGCTTTAAAGGAGGGAAGAGTCTCTCTCTCTCTTGCTCTCTCTGCTCCACCATTTTCTCAATGTGATACCCTGCCCTCACTGAAGCCCCCACCAAAGCAAGCCTTCACCAGATACATTCCCTGGACTTTGGACTTCCGTGCCTCTGAAACTGTAAGCAATAAATTTCATTTTCTTATGAATCACCCAGTTCTGTGTATTTTGTCATAAGCAACAGAAACAGACTAATGCACTAACACTCATCTAAATCTGAACTTATTCACAGCTTCAACAGTTTTCATATTTTTCTGGGCAGTGTGATTCAGTGTGGTTCATGCTTTCCACAGCATGCCTCACGAAAGAGAGCAGATAGGAACTCCTGTTTATTGAAAATATACAAAAAATAAATGTGTATAATTTAGCCTCCATGTGCCTCAGTTTCCATCAAAAACACTTTTCTGAAAGCTCCTTTTCTCCTGAAACTCTTCCCAGCCGCACTATATAATAAACTCCAAAAACAACCGTTACCAGTGATCCAAATATCCTGCTAATTGCCCTCACAGCCACACTCCCTAAAAGAGACTTCTTTCACAATTACCCACTGACACTTCAAGAAGAGAAACACTATACTGGAAGGCTATCATATGTGCATTCGACCAAAACATATTTTATTATAAAAAGCCTGGGGGGTGAAGAGGGAGAGACAGTCAAATGCAGGTGCTCTGACACCAACTCCATTCAATGAGCATAGCAGAGGGGGACAGAGAGGACACAGCAATCTGTTGCTCCCTTCATCATAATTCCTGTGGGCCTCTTGTCATGTAAGCA